CCCCCCCCCCCCCCCACATGTTCTGAGGAGCAAGTGATGTTGATTGGTCGACATCACCACCGTACGCGCGCTTGTGTTTGCAGCAATCCGCGGGGGTTTTCTTTCGTTCTTCTCTCCTTGTCATCAATATATTTTGTTATGGTACGCGACTTCTCGCAAAGGTACATGGGCACCACGACCGAGCCCCATGTTTGAGCAATCCGTCCGAATCTCGTCGTCCCTCTTCCTCCCCGCCTTGCCTACTAGCAAAACACAGCAGTAGCCTCACTTCTTCCAAGTGTTGCGCAGCCGAACGGGCTTGATGCTACTGTTCGCCACCGGCATTGTCGTCAACGTCAACGCTGCAGCATGCACGACGTATACAACCATTCTCAAGCTTTGCTATTTCAGTCGGAACGCTTCCGAGCTACCCTTCATAAACCAACACCGAGCCCCTCTTTTCTCGATGAGCTCTTGAGCTGTATCGATTCCCAAACACCATAAGCAATGACTCTTGTTGGGCGTGGACGTGTCGAGGTGCCTCCACGTCTAAATAGTTGGCACTTGAGGTGTTGCCCTGCTTGGCAACGACGACAGCACAGGCCATCCTCCCGTCGTCCACGTCGTCCACGTCCATCGTTATCGAAATCGACGCTGGTCACCAGCAGAGCAACCAAGACACGGAAACAACTCGCAGCGACCCAGGACATCTTGCGACGCGTGCAGCCCGTGGCCCTCCTCTTCGTCGTTTGCGTGGGGACCAAAATTACTATGAAATACCCCTACTCCCCCCTCCCCGCGTTTGCAGTCGCCACGCGACGTGTCTCCCCACGCTTAGCTCGTGCATCTGTATAGACCAGTCACGTTGAGCGTCCNCCCCCCCCCCCCCCCCCCCCCCCCCCCCCTGCGTCACACACACACACACATACACCCTCCCGACAGATTGAATCCCTCAAGGTCTGGCAGACGAACGCCGACTACTTCATGGACGCCCGCGCCGCCGCCCGTGCCGGCGCCATTCCCTCCTCCGGGGACAAGTGGGAGTCTTCCCCGCCTTCTTTCGTGGGAGAGGATGACGCGGGTTCATCTGTAGGCGGCGGCGGCGGTGCGGTAATGCTCTACGTCGGGTGTTCGCTCTTGGGCGGCGTGCTGGGAGGAGCGGCGGTGGGGTGGTGGCTGGGCAACAGGGACTCGAGGAACCGGTCGAGGGTGTACGAGAAGATCAACGGCAGCGGCGCCGCGCCGCCGGCGCTGTAGAAGCAGGTTTTTGGTCCTGCATCAAAACCCAGAAGCAGCGGGAAGTCTTGCTTACCGCACGGAACAGATTTTAGCGGCGGCAGCAGCAGCAGGTGTCTGGTTCTATATCAACATGCGGCAGCGTATCTCTCTTTGTACATAGACGGACCAGACTTTAGTGATGATCCACCTGGAATGGTCGCAGTGTTGGTGAGTGACAAAAAGTGACGCCCTCCCTATGGAAGAGGCCGCAGCCAGAGTAGCTGCAGGAAAGGTGTGTGTTTTTGGCTGGGACGGGGAAAAGAGTACGGGAGTTGCACGTGCTCGATCGTGGGAGTTAGAGGTTGTTTTTCAGCAACTACAATCAGGTTTGTTCACAAGCAGTGCTGTTGCTCTTGAGAGAGATAGGGGCACCGCGAGAGAAGGTAGAAGCGAGTGTTTGTGTTATGTACGGAGGGCGGTGGCGTGACTTGACTGGTTCTGTGGGCTTTTGGTGCGCCCTCCTCCTCCTTCCCTTTCCTACCCTCCGAATGGGCAGGGACGCCACGAAGCGTCTACTTATCTTGCTAGGGCGATAGTTGTTAGGTTAGAGGAGATGCATTGAGACCACAACAAGGGATATGTTCTTCAAGTCTACGACGATTGGTTGCCCTGGGTGTGTGACGAACATGGGGGCGGGGGGCGGCACTTGTGGGGGGGTGGTAAGGGATTATGGCGTGCGCGTGCGTGCTTCGTCCTTTGCGTGGTGGCTTTTTGCGAAGGAGATTTGTGGACTAGACCATCTCGTGTATGCTGTCAGTCTGTTATCGAAAATTCATGGTCTGGGGAGAAGACGAGGGAACGACAACGAACGAGGTCTCAGGGAAAGATGCAGAGAGAAAAATCTCGGTTTCGAAAAACAGCAACAAAAGTACTTGTAGCGAAAGCTACTTGCAGATATATCGGATACACGTAGGTTCAAATCCCTTTCACGAAGATTACATTGCTGTTTTGGGATGATTTTTCCTCCGCAAAACTGCTGGTCTCTTGGGTTGGTGTTGACACGTGCGAGCCTCTCGCTTGCTTTTGCCTTGCGGGTTGACAGCTGTGAATACGGGCGTATCTACGTGAGCTTAATCAGGGAGTTGCAGGAGGGGGGCGGGGCTCGTTGCGGTAAAGGGCGCCGGGGGTGAACTTCTTCCCCCCCGGGAAAACGGGCTGGCTTGCACTCCTTCGTGGTACATGTTTGTAGGTCGGGTACCTGGAGTTCGGCAGGGGATCTTTGTGTGGTGGAGTGGAGTGATATCGATGACATCCGTGGATAATTTTTAAGGTCGAACGCATGAGGGAGTAAAATAGAACGGTGTTTGCGTTCGTTGTTTCAGGCATTCGTTCGTCCCAGCGGTCGGTGGCGTCGGTGATGTCTCCTGCCACCGCGGGCGCTTGTCGAGCGGTATGGGCGATTTGGTAGTGTGGTGACTGACGTCGCCCTGCTCTGTGAAAGAAATCGTAGGCTACAAGAAGTCGACTTGGTTTTTGGAAACGAAGCATACATGCACTAGAAAAATAACGGAGATGAAGACCACAGCCAACAACATTAAGAATCCGGGCTGGCCTCAATGCGTACAAAAATGCACACCTTCGAGGACGCAAGGCATAGCCTAACACTTGGGCCGGATTTGAACTTGCTGCGCGGGTCCTTCTCGACTGCTATCAAGCGTGTTACAGATACAGAAAATAGATGCTGTCTTGAAGCGGAGAATTCACACACCAAAATAGCCACGTACGTAGTCAATGCTCACACTTTTGCCCAGCACAAGCCCAAAATTATTTTATCTACACGAACGAGCGGGCAGACGCCGAGAAAAAAGTGTCAAGTGTTCGTGTTGTCCCCAAGGAGAACCCGGCACGGCCATGGTATCAGCCGTGAAAAACGGTGGAAACAGAACCTTCACGAGAGGCAACTCTCCCTGCTAAAGCAGGCCTGCGAAAGCAGGTCCCTTAAAACATTTGCGTACAGCACCGTGCACGAAATGCCCACAAACCACCAGCAACAAGTTCGCGAGAAAAATACACGCAGTTTCACACCACAGTTATGGTTCACACCACAGCCGAACAGGGGCGAAAGGTGCACCCTAAACTACAGCGCCTCAGGGAAGGCAGCATGTTCATTTGTCCAGCCGCTTTTTCGTCATACATCCTTTGTTGCAGTCGCTCGGGTTGCGCTTCCTACACGTCCCACGGTTTTTGTTCCGTGCTCTCCTGAAAGACGTCTAGACTACAATATGTATGTATGCGAAACACGCAGATAGCACGGAGGATTGAAATGACGGACCCGTCGTCCACGTTCACAGAGTCACAGATAGTGCTACGCCCGTTGTATCGGCAATTCGGTCTTCCCTGTCTCAGTCGGGCTCCGTCTCCCTCTCTTGTCTCTCTCATGACGCACAATTAACAACCCATCGGACACCCTACACGCGTCACCCAGGCACCCTGTCCCGCACGTTCCCCTTCCCAAGCACCAGCCCGTTACTTGGGAGGGTCCCACCCACCCGGTACCATCAGCTTGAACCCCTCGGAGGATTGGTTAGGCGGAGGCCCGCTACCATTGTTGTGGGCGTGCGCTTCGACGACCCCGGTCCTGCTCGTCGCCGTTCCCCAGGGCTTTTCCACCATCCCCTCCTGGCTCTGACGTGAGTACGCCGCCGACATGTGGAAGGACGAGTGGGATCCCTCAGGGATCGGCGGCGAAGCGGCGATGTTGACCGCTAAGCTGGTCGCGGCCGCCTTTGTCGCAGGTATCGTCGTCCCGCGTGCCCAGGAATAACGCCGTTCCATTTTCTCCCGCAAAGCTCGAAGCCTAGAAGCCTGCATTGTGCCGATATTCCCGATGGAGACTTCGGGGTCAGCTTCGGCCGCCACCGACGGGATCACCACCCTCGCCGTCGGCTCGCCTTTCGTTTCCGGCGCTGTTAACCTTTCGATCTTTCTCGTCCCTCCACCAGAGCCAGCGGACCCGCGGTTGCTGACGTGCAGCTTGTCATCGAGGGAGGCCCTACCCTCTCTCGTCCGTTCGAACAACGGCCACGGCCCAACACCCGGAGGCCTCTCCTTCCACGCGTCCTCCACGCTGCCGCCGCCGCCGCCGCCGCCGCCACGGAACGAAGCGGCAACGTCATCTTGGGGGGACGCCAACGAACGTTTGGAGTCGGGGAGTTTTTGTCTCGTTGATGTTCCGCCTCCGCCACCGCCTCCACCACCAAAGCTGCCGTAGCACACCTTGACCCCGTCACGTCCCTCCACGTCTCGTGTTCCTGCTGCTAGTGACGCTCCCTCGATGCGATCATTCTCGGGCACGAGGTTCGGATCGGAAATGGCAGCAGCAGGAACGTGACATTTGGAAACCGACGGCTGCTGCAATCGTACGGATTTCTGCCTGAGGGCGGTCCCACTCCAAAACGGGGTCGAGGCCGCCGCAGATCCCGAATGTTCTGTGGCTGCAAGTGCAGGTTGCAAAGCTGCTGGGTGCGACGCGGTCGCGCGAGACGCTAGTGTCGGCGCCGTTGGCGGCAGACGCGATGCTGGTGCCGCCGGCGCCGCCCCCGCTGTCTCAAGAATCACGGAGGCCATCGAAGAGGACGAAGCGGATACGGCCTTGGCATGCGTGGGCGACAGGGAAGGGGGTCCCGACGGACTGAACTTGACCGCCGGTGACCAAGACCGCGAGGTTCCCGAAAGGGAAGAAGAAGCACCGGCGCCAGGAGAGAAGGAAACGTCGCCGCCGGCACCATCGCCACCGGTCGCGGGCCTAGCGGTTCCACACCCCCGCCGCTGCTGCTGCTGCTGCTGCTGCTGCTGCTGGTGTCTGGGCTGGTCCGTCCCTGAGCCTATGCCTACATCGCTTCTCACACCGGGCCGCCCCCCTCCTGGAAGATCAACTTTCGACGGAAGAAAGGAGACGGAAGATTCGCGAGGGGTCCCCGTTGCTCGTTGGCAGCGGCCGCCGGGCCATCCCTGCCAGAACCCTGACCGAACGGACAGCAGCACGTCCGAATCCCCGAACTCCTCGTCATCGAGCTTGCCACCATCGTCTGGAGCGACAGCTCTCGCTCGCCTCCCCATCTCCGTGATCGGCTTCGGAAAGGACGGGGGCGATTCGAGTTGGGGCGAAAACGGCGCCCAAGAAGATTGCGGCGAAGGCACCCACGATGAAGTCGACGACGCTGACGACAGCCTTGCGGGGCTGCCGGGCGTAGTCCTAAACCTGTCCGCCGTGCTGCACGGGGACGGCGCCGGCGGGGAGGGCGCGGCGGCGGCGGTGCCGCGGTGGTGGCGTGAACGCGGTGGCGTGAACGGCGCGGTGGACGGGGATGACGCCGCGGAAGAAGAGAGCAAGACCGGCGTTACCGAGGCGGCCGACGACCGGGAGCCAGACAAACGGCAGGGTGGCCCCCTGCCCCGGCGGGGTGAGGTTCCGGTTGCCGCCACCCCCACCAGTGCCGAAACACGCTTTGCCGAGGTTTTGCTGCGTTTAAGGTTCTGGCGGGCGGCCTCCACGGCGGCCGGGGAAAACGCCGCGATGGTGGGTGGTGTGCAAGACCCTGTCCGCTGCATCGACGACTGGGGCAGCGAAGGCGTGTTGCAGGTGTCCACTTTCCCCACCGCAACGGACCAAGGCAAAGCAACGGCCCCCGGGAGGGCCGGAACGGAGTTGTTGGAGGAGAACACGGCACGACGTTCCTTGAAAGTCATCTGCTGAGGCGGGCTACTGTTGCCGCTGTCTTTGGTGTCGTTGTTACGATTATTGCTGTCGCCGCTGTCCGCGGCCGCCACGCCAACCGGTGTGCTCCGCGGAGAACGCTTGTTGGTGGATGCGTGATCAACCACAGCAATGCCGCCACCGCGGTTGTGTAGCATCGGTTTCTTTCCTCGTGCACCGTCGATCGTTGCTTTCCTTGGCGAAATCGGCATCCCGTCGCCATTCCATTCGTCAATCATACCTCTGGCAGTTTTTTCTCTCGCCTCGTCAGCACCATCGCACCCACGGTTTAGGGCACCATTGGTCTCAAGCGACGTGCCCGCGTCACCCACATCAGCTGGGGTAACAAGCCACGGCGTCTCCTCCGTTGTTTCTGTCGCTCGTCCACCTCTGTGGGGCGAGAAACACGACGGCTGTTCGGGACACGAGCCGGCAGCTAATGCCGATGACCCCTGCCCAGTGGTTGTAGCATCCTCCGGAGGCACGCATGCAGTCTCCCCGTTAAGGCTGCCGCCGCTGTGGACATTGCAGTCGCCGTCGCCGCCAGGTCGTCGGCTGTGCTTCGTCATCGCCGTCAACAGGTCGGTTAGCTTGCGGTCGACAAGAGCGTGCTGGGCTTGCCAGTGGCGCGACTCTTTCTCTGCCTGGGAACGGGCGGAACAAGAAAAGGACAACGATGCCCGGATCGAAAAACTTTAGCAGTGCCGGTGGCAATCAAAACTCCAACGGAGAGACAGAGAGAAATTACTAGGACCGGTTTATGAAGAGTTTCTGCCTGTGTTCCGAATAAACATACGTCCGCCCGCGTGCATAGGGCGTGAAAGTTTCCGCACTATCTTCTGCCTGTGGTCCTTGATACAGCTGGTGAGACCCAAGACCTGAATTTTTTCCTCCGCCTTTCTGTTGTACAAAAACGTCCTCACCTGGAGCACCCTAGCAACCAGTTCGTCTGGGGTGAGGCCGCGGAGACCCAGCATGGAGTCGTCCCACGGCGGGCTCATACGCCGCTCGGAGTTCTGGTTCTCCGATGAGGCCTTCATCGTACCCCCTGCCTTCTCCACTTCCTCGTCCGCCTCTTCGATGGACAACCTGTAACTGCTGACGCTACCAGAAGGTTCACCGCCGGTCCTCGCAGAATCATGTCCCCTCCCGGTCGCCAGCTCGCCTAGATTATGCAGCGCGAGGTTGCCACCGACAGCCTGGGCAGTGCTGCCGCTGCCATTGCCAAACGGTGTACTGCTGTTCCCGACGCCGCACACCACGTCTTCCTCGGCCGTGAGGGAAGCTGCTCCGCTCGATGGAAAGGTTGGAGGGCCAAAATCACCATCGACAGCACCGCTAGACACGATACCGTCCCCGCCGGCACCAATGGCCGCGGCGGTAGCAGCAGTAGCGGCTGCTTCACTGCTGGACAAAGAACATGACGCCGAGCGTGAGAACGTGGAGTTTGACCTCGCCACCGACGCCTCTTCTGAGGAAGAGGCCGGCGGAGCGGAGGGAACAGCGGCCGACGTCGCCGCCGCCGAGCCGTATGCCACCGCCACCGCTGCAGCAGCCGCTGCCGCCGTGCCAGCAGGACCTGTAGGCGAAGACCGCCACGAGAAACTCGGCATCGAAACCATTATCTGCCGGCAAAAAGATGCGGGATCGAGAGGCGATAGGCAAGTTAGGATGTTTCTTCCGGTATGAACGCACGCCTGCCGTCCGGTGATCAAATCCTGGCTTGCTGTCGCTTGACTCTGTGCGTGCGTGCCAAAACTATGGTTGCAAGACGCACCTCCAACCAAGTAAAACCAGAGGAGCGGTGTTTGTTTCGATATTTAGCAGGTCACGGGTGTGGGGTACTCCACTCAGCATCATACACCTCTCTGTCAATCACTTCATCGTTTTCCACCAAGGCACCTTTCCGTCTGCACGACGCCTCAGACTTCACAATTACTCAGACAAGCCTCCTGTACTGCCTCCGAAGTTGCTTCAATACCGTGGACGGCGGGAACACGAATCTCTTCAGCAGAGGGAAGCAGACAGCGCCACTATGGAGGGAGACATGAAATAGCCTCACCCGGCTTAGCGGTCGACGTCTCCATGAAACTGTCCCATTTCGGCAAGGCTTTGCCAGCACCTTTCAAGGTGTTCCATGCACCCATAGGAGCCGATGCGCCCCCCAGTCGTCGAGAAGGTAACAGCAAAACCAGTGGACCAAACGAGAACCAGATTAGGGGTTGGTGGCAGAGCAGAGAAGGGCGGATGAAGGATTTTGAAAAGTTGTTTATTTGTTCGGGTGGCAATTCCTAGCGGCTGGGTGCCTCGTAGAGCATAAGAATGTGAGAAATGCACAAATTATTGCGGAAACCACGATATAGGTATATTCCAACGGGTAGTGACGCCCATGCGACCACTAAAGATCTGAAGACTACCAACAATATTCTACCGGTCCGGACATGTTTATCAACAAAGATTAACCGAATACAGCGACCATTCAGGTGAATCTCGGAGATATGGAGATGCCCACGTAGCCCCGCCCCCTCTCTCTCACTTCCAACTTTCTTGAAACCTCGGCCACTCCTCGCTTTTCCTCCCTACATATCAAGAGAGAAAAATTCCCCCGCTGGCGAACGGTTGATCACCACTCCAGGGACTCTGCTCTGTATCTACAGAGAATTGTTGTCATTGGCATCGACGAAGAAATCCTTACTTGCTGCTGCTTTTACTCTCTCACATGGAGCAAGGCCTTCTCTTCCAGAAAGCGGCCGTCTCCCGAGCGCAGCGTGGCGATGACCGACACTACGAGCGGGCCCCTCCCCACCGACGATCCCCTCGCCGTCCTCCCCTCCCCTGTCCTTGGGCCCCTCATGGTACCCGTTGTAGCTACCTCTCTCCTGGAAGGACGCGGCGTTGATGGCCGCAAGTCAGCTCTACCGCCTCCTTCGCCTGTCACCGTCATGGGACACCTCAGAAGGGTGTCCGCCCCCGCGGTTCCGGCCTGGGCGAACGCGCTCAAGAGCGCCCACAACGGGTCATGGCGGAGACCGCCACCGCCACCGCGAACGTGGTTACCGCTACACTGCTCACTCAGCGGCGGCGACACGCCCTCTGCCTCCTTCGTGGTCGCTTGTCGTGATGATCTAGACGCTCGGGGGTCCACTCTTCCTAGACCATGACTTCCGACCTGTTGTTGCCTCCGTAGGAGTGCGCGTCGTTTGTTGTTTCAACCAAACGGGAGGTGTGCGTACGGCGGCACACGGTTTCGGTAGAGGGAGGGCGGGTGGGCGTCAACACTGGCGCCTCTCACACACTTACTCTCGGGATTCTTGACGCTTGGCGGCCGGTGGCGGAAGGAGTGGGTGGGGAAGGGCAGGTGCACAAAATAGTACAACAGCAACGTTTCGGTAGCATGCGAGATTTGTTCGCGTACCTTGAGGTGTGCCAGTGCAGTCCGGAGCGTCTCGGGAAGATCACCGTTTGGGCAATCGCCAAGCTCGACGAACACCAGCTCTCCCGTTTCCTGGTGCGGAGGGGAAGGTAGGGCGGGTGATCGGTTTATGACCAGCATCCTGAAGGGTAAAATCGAGTGCCGCCCTGCATGTCTATTTGCCATTAAAATTTTCTCTCCCGACATGAGGCTCCTAGTCATGTTTCTTCTTGGAATGATTTAATTCAACACTCACCGAAGCAATCACGAGCGACAAATTGGCCGCACCTGTGGATACCGGCTGATACCTACCTCCCGCACAGACCGCCCCCGAGTCCGAAAAATCAAAATGGACAGGCAGAACCCCTCATCCACGCACGTGCAATAAAACCAGAGCCAATGTCAATACAACAGAGCACGAATCTCACCGACGCACTATCCGGCACCCGTTTCTTGTCGGCACGCTTGTCACTGCCGCACACCGAGACTAGTCTCGCGGAGATGACAACATGACCTTCCTTTCGCCGGTTCCGCAGGCCCTACATCGAAGAGGGTACAGCAAGGGGCGGGCCGCAAGGGTGTTGGACAGATACGGGCGTGCAGCGGCGTCAGCGACGGAAATTTCAGACATTTCGGTCCGTTCAGACGCATCCTTGCCAATATTGGTGCATTCTGGCGGTCATTGGTGCTAGCATATCAAGAGATGTGCGGCTACCGAGTTCGAGAACCGAAAGAGGGTGACTGTGAAGTGTGTTCTTCTCAAGACAGCTGAGAGGGCAAGCCACGAGAAAAGTGGTACCAAATACGACTCGCCCCTTCAAACCCCACCGCTTATTCTTACCCGCCGGAACAACGCGAGAGCTGCCTCAACCCCGTTCGCGTGGACCTCGGTCACTCCAGCGAGCACACGCGACGCCAACAACACCCCGTCTGCGGCGGCCACTGCTCCTTTTCCTGCTCGTCCTCCTCCCACCGAGTTTCGGCGCGCGAAACCTCCGCCGCCGCTTCCGGCAGAGAACCGTAAGGGGCGAGGAGGTGAAGGAGACGACGTCAAACCTGTCAGCAAGTCCCTCGCCGATGTCGCCCACCTGCTCGAAGAGCGCGGCGACTGCGCCGGCTTCCTTCCCCTGCCATCGCCACCAGGATTCCAAGGAGAAGGCGGCGATCGCAGCAGGTCACGCGTGGTTGCCTCTGCCACTGTCGTCGTCTCCAACCCCCCGTCGCTGCGTTTCGAAAGTCCACCTGGCAACACCTCGGCAGCACAGACCCAAAAGGCCAAAGGCAGCGAAAACGGGCAGGACGAAGAAGCACTAGAACAAGTTCCTGTTACCGCTGTCGACGACCAGAACGGGCTGCCATTACCGCACCGCCAACGTCGGGCGAGGTCCGCGAGCGCAAGAGGCACGACACCCGGCTCTCCTACCGGCGCTTCGGCCACCGCGCTGGGGGGAACAGCACCCTGTTGCCTTGGCAGGGGCCCCCAGAGTGTGTGTGAGCGGCCGGAGCCAGGCGTGCCCGCTACCAGTAAGAGTGCGCCACCCCCGGTGACGGCACGGTCGACTAGGCGTGAGGCGGCGGTAGCATATACCTGCCCACAATTCGAACACGTTTGTTGCGTCCCGGTCAGCCCTATATGTTGCCGGAGTGGTTTTGGCTTGGAGGCCACCTGCCTTGGTTCGTATTCATATGTACCACGGAGTCTTGCTATGGAAAACGTGTTGCATTCTCGTGTGATATTTCAATAAGCTGAAATCCAAAGTAGAGGGGTTAAGCTGCCGTGAGGCGACTGTTGTGGGATACGGTGATATGGTTACCCGTCGAATGGCCTCTCCCAGGCGCATTCATTCATGTACAGGGAGCGGATAGTCATGGTGGAATATTGAATTTGAGAGCCGGGGCCCGATTTTCCGACCCTTGGCCAGATATTTTGTCACGACCGAAGCCAACGTTTACCCTAAGACAATCAGGAGATATAGAAATGCAGCGCATGTTTCTGAGACAAAGGATGAACTTGAAGAACATCCATGCATGGTGTTGCTTAGAAAGTACACGTCTCCTGTCGGGTTTCCGCAGCAAAGGCTTGATGCCAATCAGGATACGAGGCCAATTATTTGTTCCAACGCATTATGAACGTTGCCTTGTTTTTTTGTGTGCTTTGCTTCCTTTGTGGTCCGTCTATTTGGGCCCCAGTGTACGGGACATGTTTGACGCACCAACCAGCATCTGGGATATCTCCATCTTACCATACTTACGTGTGCTAGTGTACCAAGGTGACGACTGTGCAACTGGCGCGACGTGATGTACTGACTGAAGAAGAAAATCAAACCCGTCCCGTCTTGCCTCCGAGGTGCTGCGGTCTGGTCCACAGACGCTGTCAACTTGCAGCACCGTCGGCTGCTCCTCGCGCTCGTGCCGGCGCTGGGTGCGTGCGCTTCGGTAGTTCTTTGTTCTCACAAGCTTCAGCTTCACCTCACCTCTGAAACACAGCAGTGGCACCGGCAGTTAGATCTAGCGGGTGAGCCTTCATCATGATCGAGGATCCATGGGGTGTTTCAGAACAGAAAATATTTGCTCCCATTACCAAGCTTGCTGTCCTGCCAACGTACAGCAGCAGCAGCAGCAGCAGAGGCAGCAGGATCGGCTCTCCACTCAACGCAAGATGAACCCTAAGACAAGGGCATGTGCCCCACCACTCTTCCAGCCAAGAAAAACACGCCACCACTGACCCGCGTGTTGTTGCCGATGCGCTCTGTGTTTCTCCGTCCGCGACTTCTTGCGGGAGTACCGGCCTCAATCGAACGATGATTTTCCCGGATGCTGCTGATGCTGCTGCCTCTCGATGTTTTTGCTCACTCTTCGCTTGGTCGTCCGTACCCACCCAGACTCTGTGCCTCCTCACCATGCTGAAGACAGCGGACGGTTGGAGCCTTGGTTCCGATGCAAGTTGAAGGGTGGTATCACGCACCCGTTGGTGGAGGTGACGGTGACACCTAACCTCTCTGTTGTCTCGCTCCTCATCACTGGGCTCTTGTGAAAATTGAATTTTGATGGATATGAGCCTCGAATCGGCGTCGATTTCGCCGCATCTCGGCGCCTCGAAGATTCCACGCTCCACGCTCCATCGCTGATATAGACCAAACTCTGTACCTATTACTGTGTGCGGGTCACCAGTGCCCAAGATGATCTGAACTCGGGAATCCCCTAGTCTGG